CCCCAAAACCCCAAAACCCCAAAACCCCAAAACCCCTTATTATTAGTAAAGTTTTGAAATATTTATTTAATATGGACCCAAGCTATAAGGTATTGGAAAAACTTCCTGAGATGTAAGTGGGGAAAGAGAGAGGGAGTTTAGAAGGGAGGCAGGGATTGGAAGGAGATGGAGGAGTGGAATGGGGTTGGAGAATAGGCTGGGGAGGTTGGTGGAGAGGGGTAGGAAAAATGATGGGTTTTAGGGTAAATTTTTTGAAAATGGAGATAATTAAAATTAGGAGATACCTGAGATAGGAAAGGAGAAGTTTTGAGGTATTGGAATTGAATTTTGGACTTAGAGTGTGGTTTTAGAATTTTAGGGAAATAATTTGAGGAATTTGAGGTAGTTTAGAGTAAGCACCTTTTGGGTAAAAAAATAACAGAGCTAATGAGAATTTTGGATTCAAAGTTTTTGAAAATTTGGTGGATACAAATTTATAATATAGAATTTCCCATATTTTCCAAACAAAAATAGAAGAGGGTGATCAGCTACAAAAGAGACATAAAAATCCAAAGACATATTTCTGTGCTAAAATTGCTCCAGCTCTACCAATCAAGAAATATTTACTCCACTTGGTTAAACATCTTGGTACTCCTCCTGCTACTTTAATTCTGATGATGATTTATGTTGAGAGATTGCTCCAGAGTTTGACCCAAGCATTGGCTTCTACTGGGAACCAGTATCAATATCTTCTGACATCAAATAATGCTCACAGAATAGTTCTGAGTGCTCTTCTGATGGCTCATAAGTACTCTATTGATATGGGCTACCCATTCAGCTTGCTTTCAAAAATGGTAGGAGTTTCTTCAGAGGAGTTAAAGATTCTCGAATCTGAATTTTTAGTCTTCATAAAATTTGACCTCTATGTCTCCCCAGATTTATACTCTCAATATGAAGAAATATTTGCAAACTGGCCAGGCCTTACTGATCAGCAAGAGGAAGAAGTTGAGATGGAGGTGGATCAGAACTCTCAAACAACAATCAGAAAGAATGAAGAAGCTAAAGAAATAGATGATATAACACCTGTTTTGAAAAAGTCAGATCATATTCAGACTGACGAAGACCTTGCAATGAATATTTATGAGAGTAAGTTTAGCAAAATCCATTGTGTTGATTTCTTGGGTATAGAACAGAATATGCCAAACCCAGCATCTAGACACGAGAAACCAGTTGATAACAGCCCTTGCCCATCTATCCAGAACTCAGATATTAGATCAAGCTTGTACAACGATGATCCTGAGTCTGGTAGTGAAGATGAGGATACTGAAATGACTCAGTTCGGTATGTTTTTAGTTATTTATGCTTTAGACTTGAGTGACTTGGGAGAAGATGAATACTTTAATGATTTCTTCATCCAGACTTACTAATCAATACTCACTATAGGATAATAGGTTCTACTAAGACCTTTCCTTAATTTTAGAATAACTGCTCCGTTTGTCAAAATCTAGTACTTTGTGGTTCTTGAAATTAACTGAGACCATCTTGATAGATTTGATAAGATTTTTCCAATTTAATTGGAGAAAAAGGGGTTTTGGGGTTTTGGGGTTTTGGGGTTTTGGGG